ATCCTTATGAATAAAGACCTTTTGAAGAAGAATTTTTTTTTAATCAGTTCACCCCAAGCAAGGCAATAATGCCATTAAGACGCAAGGGGCTACTGGTAGTGAAAGAGAATGGGAAGACTTTAGAAGGAACTGGAAACTTAATCATAAACAGGAAACAAGAGATAAAACTTTACTCCTGTACTGGGGAGGAGTGTGTGGGGTACAGCGTACCCGGATTAAAAGGAGAATTTAATACGGGATACCCTGCCCACAAAATACAACGCAAATTTCAAGAAAAGACAACACAATAAGGAACGTTTGTAGAAAATAAAACATTGTATATTTAATGTCATTCATGCAGAATAAACAAATTTGTATATTTTTATATCTTGTGAATAGATAAAAAACATTAATGCTTTAGTTCATTTAAGCAAATGTGATTTGAACAAAAAAATGTCTATGTGTTCGCTGTCTTTCAACAGAGTAGTAATGTCTGTTTCTTTTGTTTTTGTGTATCCGCCGAGTAGGTGGAAAGGAAAAAGGGGGAATCAATTTAAGTTGAAAAAGAGAGTGTGAATGAGAAATAAAAGATAAGAGGAAAATGTACTTATCGGGTTGAATTGTTTTGGAGTCAGTTGTAAATTTGTTGTTGTTTTCCTTTCCTACCCCACTTTCTGCTCTTAGTGTCTGGTTGAGTCAGTGACGGACCTGACTGTCAGTCTTCTGTCCTCTATGATCTCTGCGCCCTTCTGACTGGTGATTGACTTGAGTCTCTCTATTTATAGCTGACTTTTTTTTCACACTGGATCATTATCTTTTTTTTAGTTTAGCAAATCGCCTCCTTTCATTGGTCAGAAAATTAATTTCACACCTTATTGCAAAATCTGTTTTTTAGTTGTTTTGATCCGATTTTGCAGGTGTGCAAATCTACTTTGTGTTTTTCAGTTATTTGCTGGAATGATATAGGACTTGTATCCTATAAGTGTAAACCTGAAGATGAATATAGAACATAGTGCTGATATTTTCTACAACAAAATGAATTTGCCGAAAAGAAATGAGAAACTGAATTAATTTACAAATAAATTTTAAATTTTTTAAGTCTGTCATTATTTGTTGATTTTATGATTTTCACAGATTTCTCTCATAACTATTAACAGTCATCATCAGTAGTGTGCAGAAAGTGGGGCAGAAGGTGGGAGCAGAGGGTGCAATGGCCCTAGGTATCTGTAGTGGTGCTGTAAGTATTGTTGGCTAGGGTCACCGTGAATATAATTAAGAAGGAAGGCTGTGTTCTTGTAAAACAACACTCCACATGAATAATGCACAACAAACACGAGAGAAAAATAATCAAGCTCAGTGAACATTAATAAAATATTGTATTAACAATGATATACAAATATCAACAATAGTATAAAAGAAAGTTGCTTCCTTCTTCCGTAATAAAAAGGGTAAGTTTAGCTAATTAATGTTGGGTACAATATTGAATGTTATTTAACTACAAAGTTCAATTGAAGTCTTAGCTAAATAAAGAATAGTTCCACAGTGCTTTATCAGTGTAGAAAAATGTAATGTTCATGAGTGATATCAATAGGAATTAGTATGATTACTCGATTGAGTGATTATTAAGAATTAAAATGTCAATATAGCGCCGTGCCTTATTTTCCAAGAATTGAACTGCTACTGGCTGTTGGCAAACAGCGAGAGTCTTTATATAATGATGGATAGGCTCCAGCAAGCTTGGCGCTAAAAATATAGAAAGATACTAAAATACACGATTGGTCAGGAAATGGACCAATCCGTGATTTTAGAGAAAATTTCAAATTACCTGTGATGGCAAAATTGTCATATGATAAGTATCATATACTTACGAACCAATGATATTGAAGGAAATGGAGGTGTGGCACATGTAAGTGATCCCTACATATCCATATCGGAAGGACATCCAATCAAAGAGTGAAATAAAAATTTAGTTTATATTTAAAATTTGAATAAGGTGTTTATTTCATGTTTCATCTGTTTTTTATATATTTAAAATGTCCTCCTTTCTCACATTTCTCAGTATGAGACACTTGAGTCTTAGGAGTATACAATCAAGAAGTTGGCCCTGGGCATCACCAAACATTACCACGTCACTAGTTGTTATGAATTTCATGTCTTGGTGTCAAAGTCACCGTTTGCCATAGGAGGCTAAGTCAAAAAAGAAAATGTAAGGGAGGTAAATCCGTGTTTACTATGGAGAAATTTGAAACGTTCAACATGACAATACCCGTTTTCTATGACGTACAAACTCTTCTTCTTCTTTTATGTACCTCGTCCCTTCAGGACATGAGCGATCATGGCTCTCCAAAACGTCCTATATCTTGTGGTCCTTCGCAGATTTTTACTTTTGCTAAGGCTCTTGCACACGCCCCCCACCCCCAACCGTTCTACCATCCATTCACACAGGCTCATCAGGTAGGTGGCTTGCTGCCTTCCCCCATCTCTCTTGCCCTCACTATGTCCTGTAAGGGTTAATTTTCTAAGCCCCCCTCTTCCTCATTATGTGTCCAAGTGTTATATTTCGTGCTAATAGGAATATATACTTGAAAAACATGGTGGATAAAATAAGTAGAGGTTTATTATAAAAACCAGTACAATAAGAAATAAAGTAACAGTTATGTGCATGATCATTGCAAGTCAATCCAGTAGTGCTATTGGAAGGTTGGTAGTTCTCGTGTAAGTCTGAGTCATACTCAACAGATCCCAGCTAGACGGTATTTACCAGACCCCCACGTGGGTAGATGTGGCCCAAGGCCTAGTTTAATGTGGGTAGGCTCGGTCAAAAAATTCCCGTAGAACAAGCATAAACGGGATTGGGTTGGTCAACCTCCCTGAATGAGACTGCCCTTTGGCAGAGCCTCATCCGGGTTCCTCTCCGCTCAGAGGCAGAGAGTTCGACCAGCAAGCCGAAAAAGATTTCAGCTAGACTCATTAGACTGTTGACTTACTGATACTTAGAGGTAGTTACTACCTATAGTATAGTTACTCATGGGGGTGACAGGTTATTCCATTACATCACCAAGGAATTTCAGCTGTCTCTTCCTGACTCTGAGCATAAGTGTTCTTTTTTTATTGCCATTTTGTTTAAAACTTCCTTGTTGCTTATTCACTCCATCCATGGAATTCTCAGTATTCTATAGAACCACATTTCTGTTGCCTTCAGTTTTCTCTTCATCTGCAGGGAGATTGTTCAACATTCACTGCCATATAAGGGGATGGATATCACATAGCAATCTAACACACTTTTCTTTTTCTTTGAATGAATTCTTTTATGTTTATCTTTTGGAATGCTTCTTTTGCTCATTCAATGATGTTCAAATTTTGGTGTTGCATTTTCTATCCTCTGTTAAAGCACACCCCAGATATCTAAACTTCTGCATTTGCTTGATGTACCCATCTACAATTTGTAACTTGCACCTTGGGTTTTCCTTTTGCTGATGGCCAGACTTTCTGTCTTTTTGCACTTGATGCTTAGTCCTTTTGTCTTGCCTTCTTTTACTACCATCCTGTCTAGGAGGTCCTGTAGTTTTCTTTCCATGTCAGCCATCAAACTCGCACAACTTTAATATCTGATGACAATAACTGGTTGATATTTTTCTCTCTTCAGTGATACTGACTTTTGATAACAATGAATAAACCACCGAACCAAATATAAAAAATTTTGTAAGTAAATATCTTATTACAGTAAATACAGATAACTTTCCTTCCTCTTCTTTACAGGATATCTTTTGTGTATATAAGAGATAGCTGGAAAATTATCAACCTGACCCTCTTCCCAAAATCTAACCAAACATGAGAATTTTGTTTTGAATAGGCTTCTTGGAGTAATTCTTGAGGTAATCAGTTTATTATTTAATGCCAAAAAAAAAAAACCACCAAAAAAAAACGATCCCCCACTTTATGTACACTTGCCAAAATCTGGTCAAAAACATCAGAGAACCAGTTTAGAATCCCCTTATATGCAAGTTAATCTATAATCAGTCATTTTAAATAGATTTCCCCATTAAACCTTTAATGATGGTTTTCTATGTAACAGGAGAGAGGTAGGGAAGAAAGATTTATTCTCCCATTTGTATTTCCCCCATTATGGGCATTATTATATCTGTGATATAATAACACAGAACTTCAAGGATGGAACAGAATATCTGAAAGGAAAAGGGAATGACAAACATGCTTTGTTCTCAGAGAAACGTTCATAGTATTAAGACATACACAAAATTACATTTATACATATATACATGTATCCCATACAGAGAATAATATATCATATATATATCTACATAGAAAAGCAGAGTGTAAGGAGAAAAAAATAAGGAAAGAGTCTTACATATAATATGAAGATGCTCCTGTGTCTGGAGAACTGATGTTTAGGACTCTAGATTCAAAGGGGCTGGATTAATCTATGTCCCAGGGGATGACATATTCCATGAGCAGGGAAACAATGAGTTTTGGGTTTTCCCAATTTGAGGATTGCATGCTGGAGTTTCTTTCTATATCAAGGAAAGATATATTCCTAAAAGGAAATGGCACCATGAACTTGTAAGCTTCAGGGGGGGCAGATTTAGCCTCTGCCCGTACCATGGGGAGGGGGTCTAAAGAAAGCGACCTTATGGTTTAGTTGCTGTAAAACAAACTGAATTTGGTTGCCGCTTTCATCACTGTATGGAGTGACGTTACTAAGCTGCTGTCATGTGACCCATATGACTTATCTCCACCAAAGGGAGATAAGCACCTTCTGTATTCTTATATCTATTTTAAATAATTTGTTTAGTTAATAATATGAAATAAATTTTTGTATTGATAAAAACCATGGAAGTTTACCAGAGATTATGCAAAAAGTTTTTTTTTTTTCAAAATGAAAGATGTGGAGAGTGACAAACTGACAAATAAACTGCTGAACAAATATAAAAATAAATAATTGTAAGTCTTTCACAATTTCTTTGTTAGCCTCATGACAAGAAACAAAATCAGACAATTTATACCGTAAAAAGTTTTTTTTCAATGGTTGCCAAAGCTATTTCTGGAGAAGGTTCTGTCATCTGTACAAGTGTATCAGCATTTTGTTGGAATTTGAATTTCTTTGTCTCTTTACTTAAGTCTTCCAGCATGTCCACTGCATCTGTTTTCCTTTCTTCCAGTACCTTTGTCAGAACCTCGCATAAATGGTCATATCTGAAAGAGGACAAAATCAACCAAGAAGAAAATAGAACAATAACTCAAAATTTGATGCTTGGATTTCACCATGTTGTTAGTATTTTTAATTTTTGGTATCATGAACAATCTTTTCAATCTCATGGAAAACAGTAATTAAAAAAAAGGGAAAAATAAACTTAGTTTTCTTATTAACACCAAAGGCAACAGTCAGCCAAAATAGCCTGTAGCAAACTGTCACAAATTTATGAAGCTGTTCGTCCAAATAGCTTCAAATCCATTCTCCCACCTTGTTGGCTTCCTATCCCCCTCTTGGTCACTGCCACTTATGTTATATGCATTTGAAGACAGGTACACTAATCCATAGCTACCATTAACCCCATAGGCAGGACATCCGGGCTATTCCATTAACCATTTTCTGTTATAAACAACATAATGAGTCTGTCCCAATTTTTTCTTTGTGTCAGTCACATCAGCAGGTGAACACCTTCAGCCTTTTTGAAGGCTGAGTGCGTTTCTTCAGCACAGTCTTTTAACATCTTCAAAATTCCAAACAACAGTTTCAGAATCTTCTTTTTAAATACTTTTGGTTACTATTTGTATCTGATAGCAGCACCTTTTAAAATAGGTCTGCTTTCAGTCATATCATGTTGAAACACTGATTCTCATATGATCACTGAAGTTAAGCAATGCTGAGCTTGCTCAGTACCTAGATGGATGACTGCTTGGGAATATCAGGTGCTGTAAGCTTGGATGTGTGGTTGGTGTAATGGATAATGACTCAGAATTGGAAATTGGAGAGTCAATTTCTACTTCCAGCCAGATTTATTATATTCACTTATGTGCAAATACCCTTGGGAAAGGTATGAATCTGCCTCTTTTCCTCTCAGCTATGTGTTAATTAGTAGGATAATAATCTTTTAAAAGGTGATAAAATTTCCTACAGTATAACTGTTTGTTTTCTTTTAGCTTTTTCATGAAAATTTAAACTCAAAAGAGTTTAAATTTGCATGAAAGAAAAACCATACATGGTACCAGAAAATAAAAAGAAAGGAATTTAAATCAGATATGAAGTTTTAAAGTTTCCTGCTTTTATTTTTTTTTTATCATAAAATAATGTATTTGTTTAGATATATTATCCTATGTAAACATTTTTATTTTAATTTTAGATACACAATTCTTTTCTTTTCCCTTGTACTTATTTTCTGGAATGCAACTTACAGACATTTTCCCCATATATAGTAGGATATATATATATATATATATATATATATATATATATATATATATATATATATATATATATTGACAATTGAAAACATACACATCCACACATTTCATTCTTTTTTCACTTTCGGATCTGATGAAGCCTTAAATGGCAAAATGCATTGTCGGATATATTTCTAAACAAATCTACTTTCATGAATGTCTCCAATTGTTAAAAGTTTAAAAAACTTTGTCGGGATTATATATCCTATTTTTAAAAGACACACGCACACATATACTTACATATATATGTATATGTTAATATTTATGTAAAAGTTTTAGAAGCTAATGTTTTTTAAAAAAAAAACATTAGTTTCTAAAACTTTTACATTTATTTTGAAAATTAATGGCAATAATAATTTTGGACAAATAATACAGCTCAGCTTACTAGAATTGTCTAGGATTGAAACTGAGACTAAAATTTAGTCTCCTGTTGTTTTTTTTAATCTTTTCACCCCCAAGCAAGGCAGAAATGCCACTAATATGCAGGGGGGTTACAGGGAGTGAAAATGAGAGAAAAGTCTGGGTGTATGGAGGATTGAGGAAAGGACAAAAGATGAACGGGATTCAAGAAGATAGATGGTGATTGATGTTGCATTTCAATTTTTGAAGATTGTAATTACCAGGGAAGCAAGTAAACAGAAAGGAGTTCCACAGGTGGGAAGTGTGAGAAAAGAAACTGTTAGAGTAGAAGTGGCAGTTGCATTTAGCTATTTCAGCAAGAAATGGATGGGATCTAGACGTCAATCTAATAGAACACTTAAATTCATGTAGTCTGGGCACCAGGAAAAAGCCTGTCAGAGCAAATTCCTTTGAAGAACTGTTTAGTTCCCACTTCTGGGAAAATGGTGATGTAGATGAAAGAAAGAAAGATTCAATCTCTGCTTGCCTTAGTTTTTCTCATTTTGTTTTATATTTCTTTTTTCAATATGACTGGGACTTTTTTTTCCTGTAATTTGTATTTTTTAATTTTAATTTTTGAATTTTATTAAAAATACTTTTGACAGAAATATCTGAAAGGAAAATAAAAGACTAAGCCTGAATATCAATATTTATTAAGTATAGGTTAATCAAGGATTGAACTTGCAATAACTGAGCACACAGTAAATACACTAAAGTTGAAACATATGTAAGACATGAATGTATTTTCTCAATAGACTTATTTATCTTTTACAGTCAAGCAATTTTGAGAGAATTATAAGTCCTATCAGGATTCATTATTGGCAGTCACAATCGTAACAGCAAAAGATATGCAGATGACATAGTGTTGATAACAAACACAGAAAGGAAAGTACAATAACTTCTACAGAAGGTAGTAAAGGAAAGGGAGAAGAAAGGACTAATCATCAATTCTAAGGAGACAGAATGTATGGTTATCAACAAGAGAAACAACCTAAGATATGAATTACAAATAGGAGACAGGAAAATTGAAATATCTAGGAAGTGTTTTAACAGAGAACAGAAAATGCAACATCAAAATCTGAGGATGAATTGAAATAGTGTAAAGTGCTTTTCCAAAGATAAGCAAAGTATTAAGAAACAAGAAAATTTTGTTAGAAACATAGAAAAGAGTGTTGGATTGCTATGTAATATCAATCCTCCTATATTCCAGTGAATGCAGGACAATCTCCTCACAGATGAAAAAGAGACTTGTGGCATACAGAAAGATGCTGAGAATTAGCTAACCATGCAGCAGATAAATATACTCAGATATAAGTGGCCAGCCATACTGTTCATCATTATTGTTGTTTTATGTAATTTATTATATTGAAATACTGAGTAGAATTAAAAGTTGAGTTTAATAACCCTTAGTTTCTTTTAATATAGCTTATTCACTTATATTACATGAGAAGAGATAATAAATTTAGCAGTAGAAAAGATTTTTGAACATCATCATTCATATAGCAAAGCCAACTACTTAATTTCAAACCAACCACATGGCACATGCACACATACACTGCACTAATCCCATAAATGTTTTTTTTCCTTTTGTTGCACTATACAAGTAAATATAATTTTCTCTTTCTCTTCTTTTAGGAGATATGTTGTTCATTATACAAATACACATGAAAAATCCTCCACATGTTAAATTTATTTCTATTGAAAGTTTTCATCCTCAGCAATAACAAGTTGCAACTCCACCCACTACAAATTGGTGACCAACAACCACACCATCCATTACAAACATGTAGCACCTCTTCAGTTCAGGATCATCCATATCAGTGTAGTTGCATCCATGCAATATTCTTTCATTGGGTGAGTGACAGGTAGTAGGCTAGTATATATGTGTACGTATTCTAGCAGTTGGTGTCTTTTCATGGGAAGATAAAGAGAGACTAGTGACAAAGAATGTATTTTGTATTTCCTTTATCTGCAAAACAAAGATCACAGTCCTTTTATTGATGTTTGTTAGAAGCTGATACATTTACATTCTTTCAACACCACAGAATTAGGCGAAAGAACAAAATACTGGCCAAAGTACTAGATTGGCAGTTAGGTTTCATCATTTTACAGTTAAAATTTACTAGATGTAACCATAAATGCTAATAGTTTCTTTTTACTTGTGGAACTCTCTTCTTGCTTCTTGCTTTCCAATCAAATTTGAACTTCAAAGATTTAAATGCAATGTCTATTATCATATTCTTTCTCCTTAGTTCCTGTTCTTTTATTAACCTCTCACTTTAATGTTTTTCTCAGATTCTTTCACACTCCTTGAATCTAAGTGGCTTTATAGACTGGCTTGGGGTGAAATAATTAAATAAAATGTGTACATACTGCTTTTGTTTGCTTTGGAATAAGAGGCTGGTATAGAGGTGTTATAACTCTGAGTAAATAATTATAAACACCCTAACTTTATATATACAACAAATACTCATAAAAATGAGAAATGGCAAGATGTAAAAACAACAAAACAAGTATTATATATTATCTGGTTGTTATGTGGTGTTGGGGGACACGAGTGACAGTAACACTGAGTAAAATTGTGAGTTTGGGGTAAAATGTAGATCAAATATGGATTGGAATCTGAGAGAATCATAAGATAAAGAATAAGTAAAATGTATTCAGTTTTTCTCATATGTTTTTTGTAAATGGATGTAATGACTGTCCAGATAATTTAGTTGGAAAATACAAGAAATGTCTGGGGTTTTCTTACCTTAAATTTTTGTTGAGTACTAAAAGATAAATGTTACTATTATGGCCAGAAAAGGAGACAAAATTTTCATTGATGCACATTTTAATGACATCTGTGTGGATTACTTGTCTGATAGTAAGAATGTCACATGTTTGTGTGTGTAGAGAAGAAAAGTGGGATCAATTCTTATTGGTTTAGAATGAGTGAAGTAATTATTATAATTATTTTATTATTATTTTTGAACACTATAATTAATTTTTATTTATTCATTTTTTATGAACACGACAATGATTTATTTCTTAAAGTATTGGATTCTTTATTAAGAGAGAGAGAATAACAGTTTCCTTAAGTTGATACTTAGGCTGAAAGAGAGGAAAGTGATATGAATGCCTTGTGGAAATTCATTGGTACACAGATGAGCCCCTCGGAGTGGGAGCAGTAGTCACTGTGAAGAGTTAATAAATCTATGTCTTCAGCGACATGCTTTATCTGAAATACTTATACATGGTGTTGGCATTGGATGAAATGAAATTAAACAAAATATTCAGTTGAATTTAACTGATAGTTTTTAGTAGAATTAGCCATGTTTGTTCATCTTATCCAGAGCTTTCTAATTTCTTTTTATTAGTAAAACACTTTTTAAGACGAAAATGTTTTTGCAGCAAATTACTTAAATTTAAATATATAAATTAAAATGTACATAAAAAGAATTAAATGAAAAATCTAGTCACTAATTAAAGAGAAAATAGGTAATTAATTGATTATACTAAAGTATGGAAAAATAACAGTTTGGGAAGCTCCACACTATGTTGAATATAATTTGGTTGTTTGCTATTGGTGTCTTTGTATGTGAAGATAAAGCAGAACTGATGACAAGAAAACTGCTTTACTTTAAATAGTTGTACATGGTATTGCCATAGGATGGAATGATATGTTCAACAAAATATTTAATTGTATTCAACTGATGGATTTTACTAGATTTAGGTATGTTACTTATTTACTTAGTTGAGCGGTATAGTTTGGGAAGGAATGTAGACACAGAAGTTTATATGCTACTTAAAATTTGATAGATTAATTTATCAATGTGTGTGTGTGTATGTGTGTGTGTGTGTGTATGTTGTCAGCACCCACTCACATCTGAGCATCAGAATAATCATTCTCTCTCCCTATTCCCTTTCTCTCACCTGTTCACGCTGTGAATGAAAGAGAGTTTGATGAGGCCATTCGCGTGACTTTGATTTTCGTGGACAACTATACGTGACAGAGAAGTCCATACACTTGACCAGAAGAGCTTCCCTCAAGGCTCAATGGGGATTGAAACAGGTGAAACCAGGTAAATCTGGTGGCATCAGATGCTTTCTCCGTCCAGTTCTGCCTTGCTTATGCCAGCCTGATGAGTTCTGCTCTCTTCCATTAATTTAGCCATTGAAATCATGCATATCTTTGCCTATTCCACTGTTAGGGTCTTTGTGGGTTGGTTGCCTTCAGTCTGGTCCTTGCTCTTCAACTTTACCACTACAGATGGCTCTACAGGAGAACTCCAGATGGCTTCACTGATGGGATCACTGGGAATGTCTATATATATATATATATATATATATATATATATATATATATATATTATTTTATAAGTTATTTTTATAGATATAATTTATTTAAGTAAATGCTCCATTTTTTAATTAAATGGTATTAATTACATTTACTGGCATGAAAAAAACAGAGCATTTACTTAAATAAATTATATTTATAAAAATAACATATAAACAGGAAATTTATTAAATAATTGTCAGAATAATCCATTTCATAATACACACACACACACACACACACACACACACATATATATATATAATTATTATTTATAAAAAATTATAATTTTTTTATAAATAATAATTATATCTACTTGTATTGAGCACTCTTTTAAGAATAGTAATTGTTGGTTATTGAATTCATTCTGTATATACCAATTACATACTTAGGTATATATATATATATATATATATATATATATATATATATATATATATATATATATCACTTAGATGTTATTTTTAGAGGATACTCATATTTGAGTAGATGTTCTGTTTATTTATTAAACAGTAAAATTATTTATTTTTGTCTACTGCCCTGAATATTCAAGAATTCTCATTAAAGCTGAGTGTGTGCATATTTTAATTTAATAACATTTCTTGGATATTCAAGGTCGTAGGTGAAAATAAATAAATTTACCTTTTAATAATTAAACTCAAATATGAATATCCACTAAAAATAATGTCTAAATAATAAAATCTGTTGAATTAGTAAATAAAAAATACATTACACACACACACACACACACACACACATTTAATATGCATATATAAAAAACAAAAATGCATCCTTCTTAGTGAGGCCTCACTGCTATTAACCATTACACATGATGTCATTGTGGATTATTTTAAACTTTCAACTTTCCAAAAATACTATGATGTGGACAACAGAATCTTGTCTACCACAGAGATATCATGTTGGTTCTTGAAAATGACTGAGATGGTTGAAAGTATTTGAAAAAAAATCAGCACAAACATGAACTTTAGACATTTTATACACAATCTGAAACTCAATACACAACCGCTTATTTGAAAATTAGGAAAATACAATAAAAAATTAAATAGATAGATCTTGTTAGTTCTATTTAATCAAACTTGTCTGGATGAATATTTGTTGCATAAACATGCCTTATATATATATATATATATATATATATATATATATATATATAAAGTTGCAAATTAAAAAAATAATAATGTTCTTTTATGAAAGTATTTATTTATTTGTATATATATTTGATATTTCAGATTGGCCTCAATCTTTCTTCAGAAATAATTGTTTGTTTACAAGTAGCGTCCGTTTCATAAAAGAACATTATTATTTTTTAATTTGCAACTTTTCTATAAATACATATTAAGAAAGTATAATGTGGCTTCTCATTATGCTATGTGGACCCTATATATATATATATATATATATATATATATATATATATATATATATATATATATATGACCTAAAAGGGCCAATATGATTACTTGTATGATAATAACATTTTTGTTGATACATTTACTATAAGTGCATTTGCAGAATTTATGGTTCACAGCCAGTTATCAGATGCTTCTCAAGTATTTTTGCTTCAGATGCTGTTAATAAATCTTAACCTAATTTCTCCTTACATTTTAAAATAATTATTTGATCCACTCAACCAACTCTGAAGACTAATTTTAGTCTGTGGAATGTTGAATGGGTTAAAATTTGTCCTTGTAAAAATATTTAACTTGTCCACAAAGAAAAAGAAAAAGAAGAAAAGATAAAGTCTAAATACAAAATTTTTATATTCACAAATTGTTGAGTTGGTTTTTACAATTTTTTTTCTTTTAGTTCAGTTTCTTCTAATAAAGGGGGTTTTCATATGACAACAAATAAACTAGACTCCTTTCTACTTCGACTCAGACTTTTACTTAGATTGGCTACTTGATGCGTTGTCTATTATTCATATCTGGTGCATAGACATAGTAGTAAACATAAGAATACATGCAAGTATTAAACAGAAAAATGCTTGGTTCTATTCTAAGATATGATACTTGAAGACTATAAAATTTAAAATAACTACACATGCTTAAAAGCTGAAACTTAGCAGATCAATAATTTGATATGTATTTTTTAAATGCTGTGCAAATTTTAACTTTCTTCATAAATTATAAGTTAATTAAAATTTATTTTAAGTTGGTATCCACTGAGTATTGCATCTTGTTAATAATTTTCAATAAAGAGAGATTTTATTTTATCTGAAATTGTTTAATTAAGAGAATATAATTTGTTCATTTTAATTAATTTTTTTAATTATTTCACTCCAACTAAGATGATAATGCCACTAGAACTAAGAGTGTGAAAGAATGAAAGTGAGGAGAAAGGACAATAAGAGAACAGGTTTCCAGAAAACAGAAGATTGTGATTGGCATTGCATTTAAATTTTTGAAGATTGTAAGTGGCAGGGAAGCAAGAGATTGGAAGGGAGTTCCACAGGTGAGAAGTGCTAGAAAAGAAACTATTAGAATAGAAAATATGCTTGCTTCTAGCTAATTCAAAAGTAAAACAGTGAGACCTAGTTGCCAATCTAGTAGTATGCTTGATTTCATGCAATCACGGCAACAATGAAGAAAACTCATTAGAACAGTGTCACAAAAATATTTGTAGAAAAGACAGGTGGAAGCATTGTCACATCTGTTAGAAAGTGACTAAAGTTGAGATGCCAGATCAGGATTGATTATATTACAGACTCTTCTTTAAATTTTGTCAAGAATCTTGAGATATATAACAGGGGTGCCAAACCAAATATGGCAGCAATATTCAATGCACGAACGTATGGTAGATTTATAAATGTGCAAGATGGATTCTGATGAGAAAAACTTTGGTAGTGGGAAAGTAAAGTCTTGATTCTAGGTGAGGACCAATAACATTACATTCTTTGGATTTTGTCAAGAATTTTGAGATATATAACAGGAGCACCAAACCAAATATGTCAGCAATATTCAATGCATGGACAAATGGTAGATTTATAAATGTGCAAGATGGATTCTGATGATTACATTACAGACCCTTCTTTGAATTTTGTCAAGAATCTCGAGATATATAACAGGTGCACCAAACCAAATATGTCAGCAATATTCAATGCATGGATAAATGGTAGATTTATAAATGTGCAAGATGGATTCTGATGATTACATTACAGACCCTTCTTTGAATTTTGTCAAGAATCTCGAGATATATAACAGGTGCACCAAACCAAATATGTCAGCAATATTCAATGCATGGACAAATGGTAGATTTATAAATGTACAAGATGGATTCTAATGACAAAACTTTTCTGGCATGACACAGCAAACCAAATTTCTTAGCAATGGACCCAGCAATTAAGTCAATATAATAACTCCACTACATGTCACTGAGCCCAAGTAGTCACAAAGAATTGCTCTTCTGGAGGTTAGCATCAGCCATGCTGATGGTAAGCAGAAAAGTTCTCTATGTTGATTAAATGAAAGTAGTTTTGTTTTGGAGGCATTAAAATTTACAAGCCCTTCCTTGTCCCAGTTAGTCATTGATTGGAGATCATTTTTGAGAGCAGTTGCCAGTTAAACTCTGATGAACCTGTTGGACACACTTGCTACTAAGACAAGAGTAAATAGTTGTATTATCACCATAAATTTGTATTTGGGAACTTATGACATTGCAAAGGTTGTTAATTGATATATCCCAGAAAGGGATATATTTGTTTGAAGTAGCAAAGTGGTTTTGGACTACTGTAACCGAGTAGGACAAACTAGCAGGTAACCGTAATAGACTGGTCCTCATCGTAGTTGTAGGCAATAGGTGAAGACAATAGGCATAGCCAATAGGCATCATCCATGTACCTCCACATCAGTCTGTATTTATGGCTGACACCAGCCAATCATATTACTGTGAGGGGGAACCCCGGTGTATGCATATTCATTACATCATTAATAAAGATAAGAAACAATGTATGTCCAAAGATTGAACCTTGGGGACCCCCATATTAATATGAAATGAACTAGAAGTGTGTCTGTTCAACATGATATTTTAAAGTTTTTCTTTGCAAGCACTACAAGTTATTTCTCATAAAGAACTTTTTCTTTTTTACTTTTTAAAAAAAAATATTAAACCTGCTTAACTGATAGCCAACTTTAGTTATACACCTCTCAAAGAACTTACAAAGCATTTAAAAAATGGATATCCTCCCAAACTCACTTCCATATCTTTCAGCTTGGACTTCAGGCATGACATGGTACTATAAATAGGACATGTCTTTTCCCTGTAGGTCAGTCTCACAAACAGCATCTGCCCAAGGGTCATCCTGATATCTACAACAAAAATCTAGACTGGACATTTTAGGGCTTTTAGCCATACATTGGCACGTGGGGTCCCACATTATTTCATATTTACCCCTATAAATAATAAATATATTTTTGAATTGATTTTTATTGACTTTTTTTGGCTGAAGGATGGTGCAGAATTTTTAAATAGGAGTTTAAAACTTACAAATTGATTCCTGTCTTTGTACTGGCTGTTAAAAGAAATGATTTTGCATTGACAAATTCTTGTTCCTCTTTCGAGTTGATAAAACTTTGGTCATCGATGAGCTTTGGTGAGTAGGTGCTGCTGTGAGAATGGCTCTTAGCAGATTCTTGAGATTCATGAGAAGATTTCGGAAAATTTAATGGCCCCAATTCATCTTCCTGTCTTGCTGCAGATGTTTCCAAATCGGTATCTCCTGGAGAAGACAGTCTTAATCCGGCTTCACTTTCATTAGACATAATCAAGAAGAAAAAGTAAGGAGTTCCACTCCTTTACTAAAAAAAATAGAAAAGTATTTGCTGGAGTTAAGAAAAGGAAAATAGGTTACTTATAGAATATTTATGATTTCTTTACAAGGAATAAAAGCAGCATCTATTTGCATAAAAAAAGGGTATTTCTCCGTATTTTTTAGGTTGATAAACGAATTCCCCTAAAAATGCGGTCGGCTTGTTTTCAGTGTTGCTGTATTGATAATTTAGCTTAGTCGTTGTTAGGGCGTTTCCATGGAAACAGCAGCAACGGTGAATGCTCTTCATAAACAGTGACGTCACCTCTGACGTTCTACGCAACTTTCTGACCGTTCCACTTCCTGTTTTGCTCGCAAGCATAACAAGTTGATCATAAGGAAAGAAAAAAAAGAAGAAAAAATCTTGAAAACCAAATTAAAACTACAATTAATTTCTTTTTAATTTAATAGTTTAATGATATGTATAGTACATATGTGTATTTTTACATTGTGAATTTTTTTTTCTGAATATTGGATTCCGTACGAGAAAGCATTCCCGCAGTAAATATTTATTTGTCATGGTCCCGGTTTCGTCCTCAAATGTGTTTCTTCAGTCTTGAACAGAGTGGATTTAAAGTTATTACAACGAATTGCCTAGACAGCACTGCTCATGGTTTAACTAGGCCTTGTTTAACATAATTTTCAATGTCTTATTAGTTAATGTTCAAGTTATAGTAACAATTTTCATGGCGATGATTCGGGGTGTCCCCGTTACTACTTGCAACTACGGAACCTCACTATCCGATTCCTGGTTGACTATATCGTCATTCATCAGAATAAAGAAATAATCATCATGTTATTATTTTTATTTGTTTACACCTGACTGTTATACGTATATCTATATGTAGATATATGTGTATATACATACATTGAATGATCTGTCATACGCCGACAATTTTGGTGAATCGGAAATAAAAAGGCAATGTTACCCAGAAAAAAAGACCATTCTGGGTTGAATGATGGAATTGCTGGTAAATATGTTAAGAGGGATACTCCACCCGTACTCAGAAGTAAGTTTATTTGGGAATTTTTGTGATTAAATAAGGAAAGGGGGTTCTAAATTAGGGTAAATAAAACTGGTCTTTTAATTTAATTCATAAAAAAATGAATTAAAAGACCAGTTTTGTGTTGTTTAAAAAAAAACATCATTAAAAAATAGTTGAAATTCTTTAAAAAAAAGTTAATATTTTTTAAATTAAAATCGATTTTATTTGTGTCGTTATTTTTTTTAAAGAAACGACCATTTAAAAATACCTAAAAATCTCTTAAGATGTTTTTCTTCTCTTGCAAACGATAAAAAAAGACTAAATCCAAAAGAAAGAGATCTTTAAATAAATCAAGATAAACAAGTGCTTCTTTCTTTTTTTGAAACTTATTCAAGCATAAGATGAAACTTGTGTTATTATTTCTTTAATGATTAATAAAAGTTAAAAAAGTTTAATTTACAGCCAAAATTTTTGTTAATTTTAAATTATGTCTTTAAATTTGCCCATATTTTCAGATGATACAACCCAGCTGATTTAAAAAAAATTACCTAAATTCATTGTCTAAGTAACTAGTAATTAAAATAAAAAAGTTATATATATATATATATATATATATTATATTTCATTTTTTTGAACTTAGTTTTTTTCTTAATGAAAAGAAGGGAAAAATGAAACCGAATTTAATTAAATTTACTACTCTTCTCTTCAGCGATCAATTTTCCCCTGAAACTATTGTGTTTTTAGTTTAATTATTATTATTATAATTATTTTAATTTCGGGAATTTAAAAATAAAAAACAAAGGAGAAAACTATTTTTCTTTATTAAAAGTAACACGACTCAACATGTCCAAATAATGAGTCATTATTATTTCCACGTGATTATTAATCATTTGAGTTTAATGTTAAAGTTTACTTTTTAGAATTTTAATTAAATTGTTGAATTAATTAATGATAACAAACATCTTAAGAAAAATAATAACAATGTCTCTCTATTGATTGATATTTTTTTTATCTGAATGATGAATCATAACACTTGGAAATATTTCTAAGATTTTTAAAATTTTCAAGAAAAATATTTTTTAAAAAGATTTTCATAAAAAAAAAAGAAATAAAACATTTTAAAACTGGATTTTTCTAAGCAATTTTTTTAAACATCGGAATTTTAGTTTTGCTTGAAAATGTGATTGTCTTTTTCTTTAGCGTAAAACTTGATTAAAAATTAAAATTTCCCTTTTTTTTTCTTAAATCTGAAAGTAAATTAGTATATTTTTTATTATTGTTTCATTTTATTTTATTTTTAAATGTTTCCTGTGTTTTATCTTCTAAGCAATTGTCTCAGATATTTTTACAAAACAAAAATTATTGAAAATGCTTCTTTTTTTTTTATTAGTCTCTTTTTAAAATTGGAATTACTAACTTTTTAATTCTTTTGTGATAAGATTTTTCATGACTTAACTTTAAAAGTTAAACGTTTTCAATTCCCGTGTCACTGTAAAAAAGATCAACCGTTATTTTTATGATTTTTAAATAATTTATTTTATTTCGTTGTACCAAAAAAACATTTTTTTTCTTCTTACCTTTCTTCATCATCTATTCCTCTTTAGTTCTTTAAAAAAAAAAAAAAGATAAAAATACTTATTAACTAATCTTCATCTTCCATCACGCAGACCAACTTGTTAATTCTGACAAGTTCAAGTATTAAGTACCGAGTGTCAGAGGTACCGACAAAGAAGCTTTGATCCTGGTTTCTCATCATTTCTAGTTTTTAAAGGCATGGTTTTAAAAAATTCCTATCAATCGGAAATTGAATAATGAAACAAAAATTAGTTGTAAACATTACATTACCAAAGAAAACTTTGATTAATTATTAAAGTTTTTTTTTTATGTCACAATCACCGGTCGCTGATTTTCAACATTTTTTTAATTCGTTTTTTAGTTCATTTTTATTTTGTAAATAACTCATCACTTGATCAGCATATTTGCCATAATTATGAACATAAAACGACGCAGATTTTTACTTGACCCATGTAACTATTGATGTGTTCAGAATTCTGACAATTTTTTTTTGTCTCTCCTGTCACTGTTTCTTGTTGCTAAATGAACTCTAAAACCAAAAAGTCAACGTGTTTTTTTTTTATTTTCGATGTTTACTTGTTGAATACTTTTTTGGCACAAGGCCAAGTTTCATGGAGCACCCATTGAGCAAAGAAATTAATTTTTTTTAAAATTTAAACTAAACAGATGAAAAAAGTGAAAGACAACACTTCCTTATTTTATTTATTAAATTTAATTTTATAATTTATTCTGGAATGTCTATCGACAATTGTTGATCGGTACTAAAAATTTAAAAGTTTTTCATAATTTTATTTTTGTTTTATTTCTTTATTGTTAAAATAAAAATCTTTCGTTAAATGTTTGGCCGAACAGTGAAAAAAGACATCATTTATTAAAGCGCTACAAAGGATAGGAAATTGTGGAGAGCCATGATCGCCAATGTCCTGAAGGGACATGACACATAGAAGATATGATCAGTGATCTGCAGATACATTTCTTAATGATCTGGGAAATCTTTTTCTTTTTAGTGATCAGAGAAAAACTTTGAATATCTCTAGGAGGGTAAAAAAAATAGGTCTTGTTGATTAAACTGAACCAATTTTGAAAACTTGATTTATGTAAAAAAAAAAAAAAAAAGTACGAACAAATATTTTTCATTTACTTTAATTCAGAACCTTGTTCTTTTTTTACAAGCAGAAGTAAATTAAAATTTAAAATGCTGTCAAAAGTTTAATATTGCTTTTTAAGTTAAAATAGTTGATTATTAACTGAATAAAGTTAATTTCCAATAAATAATGTTAAAAAATCAAGACCTGGATTTTATTTTTTAATTTTTAAATGATAAAAAAAAAAAAACAATTAAAATTGATATTTCATTGGTATTCAAGTGCTTGACTTCTATGTGTGTGTGCGCGCACACACACATTAAAGAGAGAGAAAGTAAAGAAAAAGATTTTTATTACTTGATAAGATGAAATGTGACAAGTGATGGACATTATGAAATGGTCTTTGTATAGGACGAAGTAATTTTATTGACAGAAATTATTAAATAAATAAGCAGTCAAATAATTGTTTACAGTATATTTTTGTATGTTATGACAATATTTACATTAAATAAAACAAAGTATTCGTTTAAAAATCAAAGTGCGAAAGTTGGGAGATTTGATTGACCGAATTGTTTTTTTTGTTTTTTTTTAGTTTTTTTTTATTTTAAGTTATGAAAACATTTTTTCATTTTTTTTTTCTATAAAAATAATTTTACTTTTGTGAGGACGTGAGTGAAATTTAAAGCCAACACTAATATTTTTAAAGTAATTTATTCAGTTAAAAATTAATGTTTGTTTTTTTTTTTTTTTTGACGGTAAAAAAATTCAACAAACTTTCTTTTTTTTTTTTAATTGTTTAAATTTTGTTTCAATTTTCGATGATGAACATTGAAGAAATCAACTAAACTAAAACGAACGGTATGAATGGCCTAAACTTAAAAAAAGGCATTATTTCCTTAAAAATTCTGATAATATTTGACTGTTTCATCCATATGTACCAGAAAAAACTAAATTCTTTCTCTTTCATTTTATTTAAGAAATTTGCCGCAAAAACGTAATCCACCTCCTTTTTTTTTTGTTGATCGTTAAAGAATATCATAATTTTTTTTACTTTGTGAAATACTTCAAAAGATTTTGAAGACCCGATGACAGTGAAACAATTGATTTCAACGAATTTTAAAAAGTTTGTTTTTGAAGATGGATTATTCAACACTGATTCAACAGAAAGTAACAAATAGGTTTTCCTTAGGCATCTAAACATTTATTTGTAAATTTAATCATTAAATTTACAAATAAATTTTAATGCTTTACTATTTATTTTTTAGTTTTATCATAACTTTTCGTACCCTATCAAAAAAATTCTGATG